CGGCTGCTGACAGAAGACGTTTTCATGGGAAAACGCCTGCTCGGGTATACGCCGTGCACCTTCTGTGGTGAAGTCGCACCCGCATTTGAAAGTCCTCCATTTTCCTGAAAAAGGTGTTAGCATCGTGATTGAGTTGCACAGTACTTTAATGTAAATAGTTCTCTTGTTTTACTTCTCCATAAACTGCTCTACACTTTGTTCTCCTTAGGATTTCAGGAATGTTCGGTCATCGAAGACAGGCCATTTTTTGCACTACGCTGTAACAGAGTTTCTGGCTATTGTGACTCTGATTTATGCTGTCGAGCGAGAGCGCTGTCCATGTATTAACCCCTTTTCGGACCTGAATTTTTCCGTGGAGAAATTTTTCTTTTAGCTATTGTTTACTACTTGTGAGCACATAAGCATCAAAGGAAATTTGGAAGCTCCTAGTTCACAAACTAAGAAACTAGGAAGCTTTGAAAATTGGCCCACCTTCTTAGTTTTTGAGCTCATTTCGAAACAGTTCCAGATTTTATAATTGTGCCGAAACAGTTTATAACCTTGCACAACATGGTAACCCATAATTTTGATAAAAGAATGGATCTACTTCAAGTATTTAAGGAAAAAGTGACACTTACTTGGCAGGCTGCAGGGACCAGCGTCATTTCATTGTTGCACTTGTACACAAATACTTGTAATACTAACAGCAACACGAAATGAAATGGCAGGTTTAGCGCATAATTAGGAAGGGAAAGGTTGACTGAAGCATGCTCTAGCAGTATTAGAAAAACCATGCTGTTTCAGCGGCAGTGCGAACATTTGGATTTGACGGTGGCAATTGCCACCGCTAAGGGTCAATCGTAGGGATAATGCTGATAGTAAAACTTATAATGCTCTGCATGCTCCAATGCTCCCATGGAGCTCTTGTATGTGTGACTCTCCGACAATTGCATGGTGCGAAGCTCCTGGAGAACATTAGATCGTGAAAGTGCACTGCTAGACACAGCACTTTTCAAACCTTCTTGCAGCCCGTCTCTCTAGATGCGACCCCCTCCCCTTTCGTTCGGCAAATACGAGCCCCTCGTTCTTTGCGCAACGGAAGGTTGACTCTGGGCTCCACGTCTGCCTTACTGCCATATTGGTCACTGTAGAAGTTGCAAATCAGCTCGGCCAATTACTCTTGGCTTTATTTTACGGTTGACGCTTGTCAGCTTTTCGGCTGCTTCGCGTGATCTGCGGGCGGCGAATTCCTTGTAATAGTGCTTGACTCGGGCACAGATTCCTTTAGAGGACGTTTTTCTTGAATTGACTCATGCCTGCGACTCTAGCTTTCCTCGTCATCGGCTGCTCTATCGTCTCGAGAGTCAGAGCGGTCGCGGTTCATAGGCGTGGCCTTTGCTATGACGCGGTCAACCTCGACCAACAGGTTCGCGATCTCGTCGTCAACGTCGGCGTATATTGTAGCGAGGGTTTGCACACCGTGGGCGCTAGCTATCGTACGATGTCAGAATAAAGTTCGTCGTGATGTTGGTTGGAGTGCTGGACTTTTGAACCGAGCCGCCGCTCCAATTTGCCGCATATTTTGAACGTTGCTCCGAGCAGCCTGCGGTCGAAAATTCGATACTGAATCGTTACTCGCTCATGACCGTCACGACGTCGGAGTACCTGAGGCTGCCGACTAGGATACGGTCCAGCGTGTTTTACCTACCCACTGGGAATGCGCCAGGCCCACTGCCGCCCCTTAAGGAACGCTTACTTTGGTCTCAAAGCAACGCACAGAATAAGACCATTCCCTATTATGCTAATAGTTGGCACCAACGTACATTATATGAATAAGTGGGCCCGCTACTTGGGAACATAATGATGCAATAATTTTGTAGAGGAATTCTGTATTTCCGTTTTGTCTGAAGACATGATCACTTAACCAAGATACGAAAGCATTCAGAATTGTATTCTGCTATCAAAATAATTATTCTATGTCTGGGAATAGGGCAATGCACTTCGAAAAGTCGCTAGAAGGGATGTGAACGCTTCCGAAGTGGGTGTTACCGAGAATATTCCATAACACCCACTTAACAGCCGTGTAATTGACAGCGCGGCGCTCACGCGATTGCATGTAAACTGTTCGCCATTTCGAGATATGCCGCCTGCTCTTTGTTTATTTTACTTGCTTGGGTCGCTCATTAATTGTAGCTCTTTGTTTGTGTTGGTGCACATGCGATTGCAGCTTCTTCTAGCTTGCTTCGCCAGAAACTATTGCTGGCACAAGCCAGCAATAAATTCTGGCGAAGCTATAGTTAGACAGCTCGTCCGATGCGCCCCTTCTTCCTTTCAAAGCGGAAGAGGGCTTCGAAAGCTATGTCGGTGGTTTTCTTTGCTTCTTCTCATTACCAGTCAACTCGCCATCTATAACTTCACTATCGACCGTTTCACCATCACCCCCCGAACTCGATATGGAATTGTTGCTTTGAAGTTCTTGATATCCTTTCCTTCAGAAATTTTTGTTCCTTCGTTGGAACTCTCCGAGCAGTACTTCCCATTGTTTCCCCTACGCATTTCATGCTTGGCGCATACTGTTTTCAAAGGGTTGTATAGAACGGTTTGTAGTCGACCTTAAAGATCGATGTCCTAAGTAGGGCTAACTTCCATTCTGCATATCGTGGGAATTTTATTGCAGGAAACTCACGTTCTATACGACTAAATTTGTTAGGACTAGAAGCATTAAAATAGAATCATTTTTTGCGATTGAAGGAAGGACTAGTTGTGATTGCTTGATTGCATGGAAACGATAGTTTCCAATTGCGACTTTATTAACTGGATTACTTCTTGCCAATCTGGCATCTTCCTGTTGATGCGCTAGAGGCGACGGTGCAAGCAGAAAACTTCCAAAAAAGAAATAGAAGAGCTGGAATATTTGTGTGCAATAATGCAACAAGCCTTCACTATTATTTTCAGTCCCAGATTAGGCTTTTGACAACGAAGTAAAAGAAATAAAAAAAGGATTAAAAAATTTATAGGATTGCTTTAGTTAGCTTGCAGCAAACCTTCACAGAAGTAGTGGATTTGAAAACTGAACTTGTTGGTGGCGCAAGAAAGAAACAGGTATACGAGCAGTAGACACGTACAACCGCTTAGCAGATGGTATATTAGTAACATAATATTAGATGAACCGTCAACTTTGGTGTGTCCGTTTGTCGGTACGTATGTCGGCGTGTTATTATGTACAGTTCATGTCTCGCCTCTATGGGTGTATAAGCATGTGGATTACATGGCGGCTGCCGCAATTGATAGGTAGTGTGTGTGAGTTGCTTACGGCATACTTGGCTGATTCCTGCAAATTGTGTTGGACGCAGCTTCCCCATTCATGTGCGGTGGCACTACTTTTCCTAGTACTGGTCGACAGCGGGATTTGGACTGCAAGTGTGTCGAAGTGCAAGTGCAAGTCTGTCCGCAAAATGGTAAGACAGCCCGTGAGTAAACCAACTACTAACAAAACCGGGGAGCCCAAGTCTTGCAGTATCAACGCTCAATGATGGCGTGATTGCAGTAAAGCCTCTGGCGGCTAAATAAACACCTATGTAACACACTTGCGGTCATTCCACAAGGTGCTACAGGGGCAAACGGAGAGCAATGGATGGACAAGGAGAGGATAATAGGGAGAAGGAGAACGTCCTTCGATTATTATTTTGATGAGGTAATCCGCTTTGAGTTCCTATCCTACAACTTTTCCATGGAACGCGTTACCAACCATTACCTTTGCTGGTATGACGGTGGCTATCGTTTTGGCGTGCGAGAGACCCCTTGTTCGGTTGCTAGCTCGTCCATTTTTGGGGGTCAACGGGCATAGAAAGAAGTCTCATTTTGCGCGTTCCCGACGGATTTCCTTGTTTTTAGGGGCGTTATTCAGCATCCCACTTTCACCTTGTTTAAAGTGCAGTCTTATCATAATTCCTCGCATTAAGGGGCGGCAGTGAGCCTGGCGCATTCTCCATGGGATAGATAAACACACGCTGGATCGCATTCTAGCCGGAAGCCTCAGGTAGTTCGGCGGCGTAACGTTCATGAGCGAGAGACGGCTCATAATCGAGTCTGACCACAGGTTGCTCAGGGCAACGTTCAAAATATGCGGAAAGCGGAGCAGTGGCTCAGGTCAATATCTCAGCACTTTAACATCGTCGGACAGCTGGCGCACGCGAAGCAGCCGAAGAGCTGACAAGCGTCAAAAGGGCCTATCGGGAGATTAGACTAAGAGCACTAGCCTCGATTGTTCGGTCAGGCTTGACGGCATCGTTACAAACAGCCAAAAGTAAATGGCGCCGATTTGCAACTCTTTTCAGCGACCAATTTCAATTTGGCAGTCAGGTTGAGGTGGAGCCTACCGAGAACCGATGTGACGGACCAGACGTAGGCCCACCGGTTCCACGGGCGGAAGTGCTAGCCGCTGGTGGCCAGACGAAGAAAGGCAAGGCACTGAGCAGGTCGTGTGAAGTGGAGAACCTCTCCATGCTGGCTGAGGAGATAGTGGGCCCTCTTCGCATGTTGTTGGACCGCATGCTGCGGAGAGGAGTAATCTCGAGCGCCTGGGGCTCCACTACGCTGATCATTCGCAGGAAAGGTTAGCTTTGGAGCCATTGGTACAATGTGCGTCTGTTCGAACATCTTCAGCCAAACATAACGTTCCCATTTCGAACTGTCTGCACAGCACTTACCCCGAAGTTCACCTCGTAGAAGAGAACTTGCTCGAACTATTGCTTTGACTTCTTCGATTACAATCTATGAAGAAGGTGAGGCCCGAGTACCTTGGAAATACAACAGCAGTACAAAAAGAGAATGGAATAACGACAAGCGTTCTAACGACGTGGAATGTACCGCAATCGAAAAAATTCTCAAAGAAATGTCTAATAAAGTATGACACATCAAGGCCAAAAAATCTGAGTGATTTGTTGTAGTATTAGTGAGTTATTTATTTGCTTTATTGGACCGACAGTAATGTACAATTTGAAAAATTTCCCGCTGTTTGACTATCCCACGTTAGTGATCGTGATCCTGCCAGTTGTTGTCAGTGCAGCTGTTTTAAAGAGCATTCTTTTCAGCCGACCGATGCCGAGCAACTCATCGAAGACCGCACGGTACTCCTTGCTGAAATGTGCGCTTTGGTTGAGACATCAACTAGCATGGTGAAAAAAGTTCGGTAATCTATACCAAAGAAAAGTATTCGTTTGAGTGCTCTTCAAAAAGCTACCGAGATTCACTGGTATAAAATACTCGACTCGTTTTCTAACTGTCAGCTGCCGTTTTTGGCCGCATTCGGCCAATGTAAAGAAAAGTTATCACAAGAAGGAGCTGCTGGCTTGTAGGCAACAATTCTGGAGCCGGGTGAGAATCGGACTCAGACCTCTAGTTTTCCGAGCAGTTGCGCTACCACTCACAAAACTGAAATACCAGCTCACCTTCACGTTGCTGTAAGTCGGTTGAGAATTAGGGATTCTAGAAGAGGAAAGTAGCGTTGTGCTCAGTTCGTCAAGCCATGATAGCGCCCTGGGTTTTGGGAAAGCATGGTTACGGAAGGCGCTATTGACTCAAGTTCTATCTAACGGCAAGGCCTAGTTGAATGTATGCGCCGCACCTACCACTGGAGTAACCTAATGAGCCAGCAGGAAGAAAGTGCCAACATTCGCTCCCTTCCTGCTGGCTCGGAGACTCGAGAATAAGCTCGATTTCTTTCAGTACATTGTGGTGAATAATTTTTCTGTTAAGGTTTCATGATTTCTGTTCAATTTTTTTACTGAATGATGGAACGTGTCGACCCTACGCAGACGATTTCTCCCACACGTAGTTTTCACTGAAATACCACAAAAATTTTGCACATTTCCGAACTAAATGTAAGGGAATATTCCGAGGAAGTCTGCGGAGATAGCAACGAGAATGCTCCACTGTCTCAGACAACAATCAGTTGTGAGCAATATGTTGTGGGCTCCACTGTATCGATCCAAGCATCACTACACGTCGTGCTCTACTAGAACAACGCACAGAATGCTACCTACCTATTACCTTGTTAACAACGTACCTTTGTACCTGAAATAAGCCTGATACCTGATCTAAACTTTAGGTGCGACTCGGAGTGGTTTTCGGTGCAACACTATGGCTCATCTGTGACCAAATATGTCGCAATACTTTTGCACACAACTAGCTTTTGTCTCAGAATGTAGAGCGCTCTTGCCACTGTCTCCGCTGCCTTCGATAGAAACCCCTTTAACATATCGGAAGATTCCGAAAATTCGACATAATAGGTTAGAAAGAAAGTTTTGAAACACCCTACAGCCTAACTTTGGAGTTTACTTTTTTCTTCTTAATTCATTTTAAGACCCGTAACATATTGACCATCAGAGTCAGCAACAGTACGCCAACCTTCAGGCAATTGGGTGATACCACATTTGTAGACTAAGGGAATTCTTGTCGAAAAGAATTTGGTAGTCAAATTTACATTCCTTCTCGTTGTCAGCCTTTTTGTTCTCCAGGTAATGAGCAAGCGAGCTGGAAAGAAGACGTGTGTGGATAGCCTTGGTGACTATAGGAGATGGGAACTGCGGTTTGGCCTTGTTTGAGAACCTTCTGGATTGAAGGCAAACCCCGGGATGGGCCCGGCTAGTAGGAGAGGTACCACTAAGGAAATTGCAACGTCTGTAACTACCTAGTTCACTCCAGATTAGTCGCGAAAATTGCGCGGTAAGGGGCCCATTCCTTACGGGCCGGCAACCATCCAACGCTCCCCACCCACCGCGAGAGGTGGTGAGATCAGCATGCATTGATGTAGAGATCAGCGTGCTCTCTCAGTCTTCTTTGACAGCCCTCTCTCGACATCAAACCACATCCGACCCTGTCAAAGGGTAAGACCTTAGTTCCAGCGTTCGTAAAGATTTCTCTTGCTTCCCTTCCTACTTTCGGAGCGTTCTGCAGCTAAGGTATCTTTACAGAGCTCTGATAGCGCTACTTCAATCCCGGAGTTGGCCTTTAAGACCCTCCGACACGCGTTGTCGCAAAGCTGATTGCCTTGTCGCTGTATTCCATGAAGATTTTCTGCAATTGCTTCGAACAGCTAGCAATGGGTAGCCATTGTTATCTTCGATCCTGCAGGCAGAACATCACTCATGAGAATCACCGTCAAAATTCCAGACATTCAATGGCATCACCATTCCCCGTAGCTGTCAGGTCAGGCCATTGAAACTCTAATTCTCCATACTCCAAGCCGTTGCTGCTTCCGCATATGGTTGAAATAGACGGTCCATTTGTCTTCGCAAATGTTCACATGCCACAGCCTATCTTTGCTGCTGTGTGAAGAGAAGTACATGTCAAATGTCTAGCCGGACAATAAAATCGTGCTACCCATTGACCACGTTTCCAAGGCTTGTCCTGAGAGCCTAGAGAACGTGTGGTGGAGGACAATCTGCCATATATTCCCTCTAATCGACTTCGACTACGCGCGGACGACGCCTAGATGGAAGTAGTCGTGCGCTGCGTCAGAGGAATCAGTCTCCTGCGTGACGTAGAGCCATAATGAAAGCATAAAAAAGCGCCAAGTGAAATGTAGTGCCATATTCTATCACTGGACCGATTCTGAGCGCTCCTTGCGGGACGATGTCTCCAGGCGAAGTTCTCACATGAAGAGCGCTCGGATGATCTCAGAAAATATGATTTTGTGCGATGCAAAACGAAACTGCTGGAGATGCTGATTGGGGCGCCGCACGCAGCAAAGTAAGCCTTTTTGATGTACAACCCATGGAGGATTCTAGAGGATTCGGGAGAAATCTAGAAGCAGCACGAACTAAGTTACAAGACTGTCTTTCCAACCTAATAGTTCTGCTTCAGCTGATCTCACATCAGATTCCTACTGAAACACTAGAGAAGGGAGTGGTGTGAACAGAGTCGACACGTTTCATTATTCAGCGCTTGAAAGTGACACATAAATCATGGGATCTTAGAAGAAGATCAACTAGTTTCACAGTGATTGGATTAGGGTTTTCGTGGCGCATCCCAGAGCGAATGTTGGAGACTCTCTTACGGTTGGCTGATTAGCTTGCATGAATTAGTTTGCATAAGTGATTTTGTACGTGCAGTGCTGGAATCAATCAGCTCTAGGGATAGAAGTCGAATGCATGGCAAACTTTGGATTGAAATTATCTGGAGTAAAGCACTATCTTCTAAAGCTCGACGATCTAAGGTAACGCAGTAATCGCTGCGGCCTGCTGCTACTTAATTTCTCCAATTGATTTACTGATGGATAGCTGCCTAGAGGCAGTGGATCTGATTGGGCAGCCCCTTCCGAGCAGTAATCCCAACAGTGTATTAGAAATGGCCCATGATGCGTCGGGGACTTGGTTGAAATCTAACTGTGCATAATGCCTTTGATGCCGTTGATGCGGAAGGCTATATGACTTTCTGATGAAATGAATTATGCACTTCAATAATTAACTGTTTGCTTTCCCATTGACTCGAGCGAACTGTCATCATTGGAATATAAAGGGTGAGTGGTTCTTTTTCTACCTCAACCCTATATACGCAAAGCACAGATTAGGATAGAACGTCGACGCAATTCGAAGAGTGGGGTTCAGGTTGTCCGCTGAGACTTTACATTTGAGAGCAGTGAGAGTTCACATTATTCCATCAGCCTCTGACCATGTTCTTCCTCGCAGAAGAAAAGCGAAGCAAACAAAGGCGGTAAGCTTGAGCAAAAGACTCACTTTGGAGCAAGTTTAGGTGTTTGAGGGGATACTAGTCATGAGCATTTGAAAGAGATGGATTTACCCCCCCCCCCACCTCTCCGTCCCATGTCTCTGAACGCGGCATCTGCTGTCGCATCTCGAAGAAGAGAAAAATGATAAGTTGTTGCAGCAGGAGAGCATTGACGCCTTCAAAAGACAGGGTCGTAGGCTACTAAATTTGCAAAAAAATACCGGAAAAAGCTGAGTCCGCATCGCTAACCTGATGCCGTAATAAATGAAGAAGTTGACAGAAGTTGCTAGAGTTGCGAACAATCCAGCGAATAGGCTGAGGTAGATGATATTGAATTTTAGGTTCAAGAGCTCATTCATCGAAACTATGATCACTGTGCTGAAATAGCCGAGGACAACCGACAGGCTTATAAGGAATAAGGACCGATAGATACTCTTCGCCTTCTCGCTGCCTGGAATACTATAATTAGTCTCTATGACTATGTAGTAAACGCTTGTACAAGCATTCCAACAAAAGGCACTTGAAAAAGTCTTGAATCGTTCATAAGCACCATCTGATACCTTAGGCAAGATTATTGCGAAAGCTTACTCATGCGCAATTTTCTCAGGAAAAAAATGAAGGAACCATAGCACAAGATAATCAGGACGGATATCAAAATAACTGCTTTCGAGTAAATGTCGTTCAATGCAGTGCCTTGCATGGGTGTCGTCAAAATGCAAACGACGCTTCTGTAATGCAGTAACTAAATTTGTTTTTTTGGTCGTTACACCAGTGATTCTGATGAATTTCCAATTTCTGTGAATGAAACTGAACACCCACTCAAACATCGAATCACAATAAAACAAAGTGATAATTTACGGATAAAATATCTCACAAAAACTCACTCTTCTTCCTTTCGATTGATGAGTACCAGAACGTCCAAAGTGATCCCCAGGATACATCCAGGTAGAACATGTGCCACAATGTACATCTTGCTATGGGAAAAGATGAGAGCTCGGCTAAAGGACTGTAATGAGAATGTGTTACCACGTTCGTACCTTTTGCGTTTTTTCATAAAGCAAATGGCATTCAGTGAAAAACAGTCATTTCTTCAATTTGTGTGTATTCTTTATAACTCCAGAACACTTCAGGGAGCACGTTGTTTTTCTGCTTCGCTTTGTTGCCGAGGATCAGCTTTCCAGTCGAAAGTTCCGGGAAAAGGAGCTTTAATTACTTAGATCACTATTACACATGATGATACTATCACGGTGGTCACAGATTGCTTCCGCGAGAGCATACTGCTATTTAGCTTCAAATTCGCTTTCAAATTCGTACTGAACATAATTGAAAAAAACCACTTCGCCCAAACAATCGTTGCTCCAGGAAATTTTCTTCAAAAATTCTCGAACATTTACAATGATCATATTAGCCGTTGAAGATAATTTGTCACAAACATCTTCAAAGCTATCCTTGTGTTGAAGGCAAAGTTTGGGACAAGACCAGTGTGTTATTACGTTTATACCTGACTAGTTTGGCTGCTCGCGCATTCGCGTGCTTCCCACGAGACTGCACTGGTATAATACAGTACCGTCGATACACTTTTCACAAACTCCGCCCCCTTCGGCGCACTCTCCACCCGCCGACAGCACTTGAGCTCCTTCTCTTCGCCAACCTCTAACCACTCTGGGACTTCTCAATCGAATTATTAAGTTTCGTGGAGAACTACTTCCACCTCAATGCACTTTGCACCCATCAATAGCGCTCGACCCTACCCACGTTTGTCCCTGCCTCCGAAACTTCTTGGAAACAAATTCTAATTTCTTTGTTGTTATTGTAATTGTTGATTGTACTTCTGCCTTGAGGTTGTTAAGGTGGAAGATTCATCCTGGTCAACGTTTCGACCGCTCCGTCGTTTTCAAGGCCTGAACATGGCTCAACGCTTTAGAAGTGCACACTACCCTATCAAACGCCTCATCCCTTCTAGCGTTTCTGACGTCCTGTCAGGGACGCACGGAAAATTCCAGCCAGACCACAAAAGCTCAGCACACCTTGTTCCACCGCAAAGTGTAGCGAAATGCTACACTCAGTTAGTAAACATTAGTAGCGAATGATGTTACTTTGCTGTCCTTATACTGTATCAGTATATCGGACAAGCATGTTCGCTGATTATGCAAGAAACTCGCAATGTTGCATGAATGGCAAGAGATCATTTGTGATGGAGACACACTCATTCCGGTTATTCATTTGTGGATTTGTGGCTGAAATCTAAAATGCTTCCAATGCCTTCCTTGACGAAATCTCGGTCTCGTGAGCCAAAATCGTGCACCTAATGTTGAAGTCATTGCCATCATGCTGTTCTACTCTGTGTTTTCCCAACGGTGCAACACATTACAGCGCCGTTTACCAGCTAAATGCTCTTTGATCCGCACTGATAGAACTTTCCCAGTTTCCCCTATATATGTTGAATTACATGCTTCTGGATCTGGTAAATTACGCCTGCTGAAGCGCTATCACCATTTCTCCCATTCGAACATGTAATACAATTCTCTGTTGAGCACTGCCTGTCGTAGAGTCTGTCCCTCACAATTTGGCGTTTGATGTTATCATTCGGGATGTTACCTAGAATAAAGTCATCGCTCAATTGTGCGCGAACAATACATCGTTGTATTGTAGCAGATACTTTATCAGAGATGAATGGCAAGCATAGAGGAACCTTATCTTGGCGTGCTGTGTTTCTGCTGCCAACGCGGGGTCTTCCACAATGATGTGATGCCGTATAGCCATTTGATCAAGCTATGCTTGAAGCTAACTGTTTTGATTCTTCACATTCGGCTACATCGCTGCACATATTCTTGCTGTTTTGTACATGTTCTTGACAATAACAGGTTTCACAGCAGATGCGAGTGCAGATGTTGCAGGAATGCAAGATGTTCTTTGAGATTCTTTTCCGCGATACCACTCTCATCGTGCTACGGACGCCCGCTGACACCCTTAATTTGTGCTGTGGATAGGGAGGCCAATCATTCTGTGCGTTTTTTCTCCGTATCGTCAGCCTGAGTACGGTTGACTGGCCATTCATTACTCGAAACCACTCATCCACTTTCGGAGACTGTGTTGAAGTAATGAGAAACAGTCATCTATTACCTGCACTACATCAATCGTTACAGCGCTCTCAATACTGGGCTCTTCGGTTCTGCCATTAAAGCAGGCCGCGATAGTACGGGAGCTAAACAGTTTGACGCCATGGCTAAACCTGCTGACTTTGGGAAGTAATAACAATCTGACACTGAGAGATGGTTGCCACCAAGACATTCCTTGATGAGAGTCATGAATCCCGGCTTTATCAAGTCCAAGAAGTCTCAATATCTCTACCAGCCATCCTAACATTCGGAATAGCGCTTGTAGGCTTGCTCACTTTGAACATTGCGATTTAGAGCGACTCGTGACGCGTCGAATGACTCTAGTAACGGCAACTTGAATCCCAGACGCAAGATTTCCGCAAATTGATCAGGAATTGTTAGTGTGTTGGACAGGGTGAGGGGGAACCTTTGCCCTGTCAACCATGTTTGGCTCAACAGTAAGTTTTAGAAACCACGAAATCTGTCAGTTGGTCCACCGCCGCATACATTGATTGTTAGCATTTTATAAGTGTCCGCTGAACGTTGACATCCGCAACTCGTCAGCGCAATCTTGTGGGTTCTTCACCAACTGTCAAACGACAGACAACTTCGGAGCAGTTTTTCAAGCCTGAGTCTGCGCCAAGGAAACTTCGCTAGACCTCAATTTTGCCTTCCCGTCCTCCACATGTGATTGAGACGTCTCATTGTGATGAAAATTCCTTGCGTCGCCCGCGTAAGTATTGTACCCGCAGGTGAATTTCCGCGTTCTTGCCACGATCCATGGCTGCGACATAAGCAACAATTCACCACCTTATCGCAACAGAGACTCCTTATTGCACCCGTTCAAATCTAACCTCACGTATTCTCTGAATACCCTGCAGATGATGGTCCCGAGACCCGAGAAAGTCAAGTGCACTGGACGAAAGTTGAATGTCTCATCCGCAACACAGAACCTTGTCCACCTCACCGTCATTGCGAGTCATTGCGATATTGAAACAGCTCTCCCATGAAAGCCACCGCTCTATGACGACAACACTCAGATGAACGGGAGGTAGCAAGAGTTACTGTGTTGGTGACATTCAAGCTTTCGTCAGTGCCACTGACTTCTGCGTCTCGGACCATCATCCCTCACCCACCGCGCAAACATCACTGCTTGACGTATCAGAGTTGTGGAAATTTATATAGACGTCGAAGATCTGCTGCGTTGTAGAATCACTGCGAAAGTAATTGCGAATACAACACCTCTCTTCCAATGACCGTTCCGCGTCGCGTACATTAGCAGAAACTGACCCTAGTCAGATGTAAGTCAAAATTGCGCCATTTTATCGACTACCGTACTCGTCCGTTTGAAATCGTAAATTCACCGAAAACGCGAATCCCGTTTAATTCGTGACATTCTGTTATAACTTCGGGTCAGAGGGAGTATTCAGAAACGGAAAACACCCGTTGAACTCAGCTCTCCAAGCGCATTCTAAGACGATACTGAAACATTTTCAAGAAAGACTGATGTCGGAATGCGCCATGCATCTCCGATTTCATCTCAAAAAGTCATTGCTCCGCATGTGACCTGTGTAATAATCCCGCTATGCGGCTAACCGCTACACACAAAGAAGGGCTCCAGAACTTACTGCTCCAGAATGCGCCCTACGTACTCAATCTCATCGACCTACATGTAGATACCCTGAATGTATTTTCCGAATTCTTAAGATCCTCATTTCGTTTTCAAGCGCTTACAGTTTACGTGTTCCCTCTGCTCTGCTCTCAATATCCCATCCTCTGCATATCAAGTGGAATCTTTGAACAGTTCTCAGCCAGCAGGCATAGTGGGCCTATTATGTGACATTTTCCATTTTCAGAGGACATGTTTTGCAGAAAGCTGTGAAGATAGCGAACAATTTCCTTCACTGTCCTAGACTACGGTCACTTGTCTGTAAGGAGTATATGGAAACCTTGGTCGCAGGTGAGCGTTTCTTCTGTGGTGTGACCCATGCCTTTGCCCCCTATTACGTGACAAGTCCCATTTTTAGAGGAATGTTTTGTAGAAAGCTGTAAAGGGAGCGGAGAATTTCCTTCACTGTCGTAGACTATGGTCACTTGTCTGTAGGAATTATGTGGAAAACTCGGTCGCAAGTAAGCGTTCCTTCCGTGGTGTGGCCTCAAACATGGCTCCTCGTCATGCCCTTGTGCAATGTTCAGATTTTTTGCATTTCCAAATGAACTCGCGGACCTGAAATGTGCCCCGTTAGCTTCCCTGTAGAAAATGCTATCGAATGATATACATTGCTTCTCCCAGTTGAAACTTTGGTTTTTCACCGTTTTCAGCCTTCCCCTCCTGCCGGATTGGACACTATCCCACGATTACTGACCCAAATTCTCAAAGTTTCATTTTTCGTCGAAACTTTGTCTATTGGGGTAATTCGATGCCCTGAATACGAATCTGACATTCATTTTTGATGCTGGTGTCATTTGGCGCCATTTGGCGCCACAGCTGTTTTCAAAAAATCTGCTGAAACTTCGTCTTTTAGGGTTATTTGAGGTCCTGATTGCGAAAGCGACGCCAGTTTTTAGCGCTGGTGCCATTTGGCGCCGTTTGGCGCCATTTCGGCGTCACGGCTCTTTCCACCAAATCCGCTGAAACCGTGTGTATAGGGGCTATTTGTAGTCCTCATCACGAATATAGCATTCAGTCTTGACGCCGGCGCCATGTTGTGTCACAAACAACACTTCACAGTCAGAACGTACTCTTAGGCACCTTTCTCAGAGCGCCGACTGTCAGACGGTGGAAAAGTTCATCGAATCGGAGACCTTTCCACGACAGGAAGAAGCCAGACCGTGGGAAAGGTCGTCGAATCGGACTTTTCTACGATAAGCC